TAAAAAATTAAAGTTTTAAATATTAAGTAAAATTAGAAAATTATAAAGCATCATGAGCTTTTATAGAAAGAACTCAAACCGATGTCATTCATTGTATCGATCCATAAATATCACTTTGATACAAACTATATTTCAACATTTTTAAATTATAGAAAGAGATCTCAAAAGTGAAAGATTTTAATATAGATTCAACTGAAAATATGCTTAAGAAAAATCAGTAGGCTCAGGCAGACGAGATATAATCAATAACATTTCTGATGAAATCATTAATTATTAATATTTTATAAATTTTGATTTTTAATAATATTATTATTTATTATTTTATAACTAATATTTTTCTAATTTCTACTTAACTTTTAAAATTTCTTAAAAATAAATATTTTTTAAACAATTTTTACTTATGGAGAGGGGAAGGAAAATTTCGCTCTTAATAAATATTGAACTCATAATGTAAGATAGAGAGAATGTAAAAGTATTTTTTTTTTTTTGCCTTTCCGGTTCCAATGCCTTGCCTTGATTAATTCACATGGACTCTTGTTGCACACTTAGTTTTGGTAGCTGAATCTCACATCAGAGATTTTTCGCATATACAAAAAGTCACTCGAAATCTTGCTTATGCAATATCAAATTGCTTACCACTTGAACCAGCTCATATTAATAAATATAAAAGTTAACTGTATACTCTAGAAAAAGTTAACCCATAACCACCTGCAACGGTATTGGTAGTTGGTGTAACCAACCCTAACAACTTGTTAACACTCAACAACTTTAAAAAATCAATGTTAGTTTTGAATTTCTTAAAATATCAATATTATCATCGTAACACATCATTATTTACGTATGAATTATCACATTAATATTATAATTGTTACGTTAATATAGTAGACTATCACATTAATAATGTTAATGACCACATTACCACAATAACAATCTAACGTTAGTAAAAAATTTAATGCAATTTGTGACTTTAAAGTTTCAATTAGATGCTTTTTTTACGAAGGGACTAAATTAATTATTTAATGCGAGTTTGATGGCAAAAATATCCTTAAAAAATATTTTACTGTTATAAATGTAACTAACCCGTTTTGTTTCAAAAGAGTGGGAGTTAATATTAAGCACTTCAGTGTTATTATTGTAAGTTTAAAGTTTAAAGTGGTGATTTTAAATTGATAATTGAAAAGATGGCTTAATTATTTTGAGTAGTGGATCTAAATATCAAGATTAATAGTATTAAATAAGTAAATAGATAATCTCCTTTTTTGAATTAAGCATAAAAAACGTGTTAAAGATAACATTACTTAATTCATCACTATATTTGTATTTTAGGTTAAAATAAACAGAGAATCTTTTCACGCGTTTTCCTTTTTTTTTAAAGTGCCCCCAATGAGTTTTAAAATGGGTAAAGTACATAAATAGTCCCGATCATAGGACAACACTGCGTTGAGTCCCTTGACTATTAAAAGTTATAAAATAATCTCTAACTATAAGATGTTGCTCTGTAGAGTCACTCGACTATTAAGTTAAAAAATGGTCACCCGACTATTCATATATGCCAAGCTCGCCATTTTCCGTTAACAAATTAGCGATCGTCTAAATTTGACGTTTACATGCTCACTAAGATATGGTAAAATCTTATTTCATAACCATTTGAATTGTATAGTCGTTTGAGATTCTGTGATGAGATTTTAGCATATCCCAGTTAATATGTTAACATTCAGTCTAGACAACCGCCAGTTTTTTTAATGGAAAAGGATGAATTTAAAACATATGAATAGTCAAGTGACCATTTTGTAACTTTTAATAGTCAGAGTACTCAACAAAATAATGTGCTATAGTTGGAGGACCATTTTGTAACTTTTAATAGTCGAGAGACTAATAAAACAACATTCTATAGTCAAATGACCATTTGTGTACTTTACTCTTTTAAATTAACACCCGTCCAATAATTACTAGTGCCGATTCGGTTAAGATTAATTAACATATATATATGTTGTAATTGTTAACTTTATTTACTTTTTAAAGGCTAACTAATAAGTATAATTTTTCTAACATTGAACGTTTACACTCCTAATATCTATGGTGTTTGAACATGGGTCCTAAAAAAATAACAACAATTTCTTTATCACGAAAACCTCTTAATTCCTGCCAGTAATGTAAATTAGACACTTGAAAAACTGCTTATTTAGAGAAACGGTGAATAAAAAAATAGGAACATAAATTAAAAAAATATTTAAAAAATCACTACATTTGTTATAATTGGGGAAAGTCATTGATGCATGACGATAGCTTCTATATAAATTAATTTTAATTTTGATAAGTTGTCGTTATTGACCATTTTTATAAAAAAAATGAATTAATTTTTAATTTTGGTTAATTAGTAACGATTCCTCACTGATTTTTAAATATTATACTGATTATCCAAAAAAAAGTATCCGAAATAATTTGATAATTAAATAAAATATTTGAAAATTAAAGACAGCATGATTAAAAGTAATACCAAGGAAAACATGAAATTTGAGTTTAAAATTAGTGAAGTAAAATTTCATCGAATGTCCTGAGTAATTAAAAGGAGTGTAATTATTTCTAGAGATTTTGGATTCAAGCAGCTACGTTTGTAAGTGTACGTGCGTTATCAATAACAAGAAAAAATTATGAACATATATTGTCTTATAATCACTCTATACCATTAAAAAAATTTATAAAGTCACTCTTAAAGATTTGGGGTAAGTTAGAAATTTTGTTTAAAATAAATTTAAAATATTGTTTTTATATGATAAAACATTTATGTCAGTTTAAACCAAATAAGAAAGATTGAAGTTTTAATTTTGTTAGAAAAATTGATCTTAGATTTTGAGTTAATTGCATCACATGTCCCAAGACTATGACCCTTATCTCAAATCGATCCTTAAACTTTTAAAAATTTCAATTTCATCCCTCAAATTATGACTCTCATTCTAAATTAACCCTTAAACTTTTGAACAGTCTAATTTCATAAACTATGACTCATTCTAAATTGGTCATCAAACTTTTGAATCTTCCAATTTCATCTCCAAAATCATCCAAATATGTGATTAGTTTCAATTATAGTTTAACCTAAATTTTCTAACAAAATTACAACTTGAATATTTAATTTAATTTATATATTTTATTTTATGTTAAGTGTATTTCAATTAAATGAAGTAGAAATGATGTATTTAGTGTTATTAAATAGACATATAATAATGATAAGTATATATTGTTATATTCAACGGTGGACCCAATTCCACTATATATTACTCCCTCAATGAGGATTTTTAATGAAATCATTCTTGCAAACACGATACGAAAGTTTTGAATAAGTTTGACAACACAATTCGATCGGTGAGAAGTAGGGGTGTGTATTATCGGATATCGAATATTATCCGATCCGAAATTTCGGATATCCAAAAATTTCGGATACCTAAAGTAATGATCCGTATCTTATCCGAAAAAATCGGATATCCGAAATTTCGGATCGGATATCTGAATATCCGGATCCGAATCCGATTTTAGTCCTCCACGCCAATCCTTCCCATGTTTACTCAACATGAATGACCTATGGATTTCTTATCAACAGTTGTATCTAGCCTCCATACCTCACAACAATAGAAATAGTTGTAAGTCGATCATACACAACATCGAAGAGATTGGGATCTCCTTTAATGCTCAAAATATTAGAAGAAATTTAAATGACGAAAGATGGTTTCATTGTGACAAGAGAGGGAGCAATGGAGATAATATGATAGGACTTTCTTATTTGATTTAGAAATGAAAGCAGTATACCTATTTTTGCAGTTTCAGTAGTTGGATCAGCTATTATGCTTATTATCTCTGGTTTCGAACAAATCTCCATCAAGCACCATACTCGAGCTACTAATCTTGTTATTACCTTGTACCCCTGATATCTGCAAAAACAATATCATGGTCATTTAAAAAATATCTACACCATAACGAAACACTGACATTGGTGGAAAAAAATGAATACAGACACCTTAGGTCGAAAATCTAATATTTCATCTTATGCGACGAGTATAAATAGAAAAATTCAATTATTGAAAATGTTTGGTTTCAATTAGAAATGTTAGCTTGATTTGGCAAAAAGATAGATTATTTTTGGAGAAGAAACACTCATTGCTAGACGAAATTCTGCAGCATGTTGAAGAATAGATACGAAAAGACCCTGCAAAAAATCGGATTTTCGGATAATCCGAAAATTATTTTGTACCGATACGTATCCGATCCGATAATTCAAAAAATATTTCGAATACCCGATTCAAACTATCTAAAAATTAAAAAATGGATACGATATCCGATTTTTTGGATCAGATCAGGGTTTTTTTACACACCCCTACTGAGAAGGGAGAAAAAGTCATGCCAAAAATAACTTACTCTACCATCAAATGAAGATACGATAAATCTATATTTAATTTTCTTTAAAAAAATTAAATATATATTTTTTAAAATATTTATATAAATTTATTTATGGCTCTAAAAAGAATACTTTAAAGCCTAAATTCCGGAAGAGAGATTTAGTAATGGGGACTGGACTATAAATTAGGTGCGGTGTTAAAGAAGGAGAAACAAGTGTCGGCAGTTGACAGCGCCCAAAACAAAAGGGCAAACAAGTCACTAACTCCATAATTTTAGATAAAAAGTAATAACACTTATTTTAATTTATTTCAAAGTATGACCCACTAGATTAATTTAGAATAAATGAAATTCCAAACCAACCCCTGTTCTCATAGGTTTCTTTTTCTTTTCCTTCAAACGAAATTCCACCCCACTTTCGCTCCCAAAAGCCTATAAATTAGAACACTGCCTATGTCATTTGATCAACCAAAACAGAGCAAGGTTTTCAAAAAAACACAGAATCAAAGCAATTTATTTTCATTGATTTTATTTCCTTTACAAAATCTCTGTTTTTTTCTTTGTATAAACATAAAAAAACCTTTTTCTTCACAAAAATTTCTTAAACTAAACAGCAAAAACCTTTTTTTTTGCTGCCTTTCATTATGTCTCCAAGTTTGAGTAAAGCTACTTCTGGTGCTTCAGGCCTGGTTGATGGCCACAATAACCAGTGTTTAATCTCACTGGAAGGCTCCAACTTCGTTGTCGATGGCCATGTTTTTCTCACCGACGTACCTGATAACATCACGGTAACTCCTTCCGCCGACAAATCTGTATCCACCGTCGGGTCCTTTGTAGGATTCGACGCCGTTGAATCCGACAGCCGTCATGTTGTCCCAATCGGGAAACTGAAGAACATCAAGTTCATGAGCATCTTCAGGTTCAAAGTCTGGTGGACTACTCATTGGGTTGGTTCCAATGGGAAAGACCTTGAAAACGAAACTCAAATGGTGATCCTCGACAAATCGGACTCCGGCAGGCCTTATGTCCTCCTCCTCCCCCTTCTCGAAGGCCCCTTTAGGGCTTCCCTTCAGCCCGGAGCCGACGACAACGTCGATATCTGCGTCGAAAGCGGGTCCACCTCGGTCACCTCGGCCACTTTCCGGAGTGTTCTTTACATTCATGTCGGCGAAGATCCATTCAATTTGGTCAAGGAAGCCATGAAAGTGGTGAAGGATCACCTTGGAACCTTCAAGTTATTGGAAGAGAAAACCCCACCAGGGATCGTGGACAAATTCGGTTGGTGCACGTGGGATGCATTTTATCTTACCGTGCACCCTCAAGGTGTTTGGGAAGGTGTGAAGGGATTGGTGGAAGGTGGGTGCCCACCGGGGCTGGTGCTTATCGATGACGGCTGGCAATCCATTAGCCATGATGAGGACCCCATCACCAAAGAGGGCATGAATTGTACGGTGGCCGGTGAACAAATGCCATGCAGGCTGTTAAAGTTTCAAGAGAATTACAAGTTTAGGGACTATGTTAGCCCTCGGAGTTTGGCCATTGGTTCCTCGAATAAGGGCATGGGTGCCTTTGTTAAGGATCTCAAGGAGGAATTTAACACTGTCGACTTTGTTTATGTGTGGCATGCCTTGTGTGGATATTGGGGTGGTTTAAGGCCTAATGTCCCTGGCTTGCCGGCTACCAAGGTTATTAAGCCGGAACTGTCCCCTGGATTGAAGAAAACAATGGAGGATCTCGCCGTTGATAAGATTGTCTCCACCGGTATTGGGTTGGTACCGCCGGAAAAGGCCGATGAACTCTATGAAGGAATTCATTCTCACTTGGAAAATGTCGGAATCGATGGAGTTAAAGTCGACGTTATCCATGTAAGTTATTTACCCATACTTTTTTTTTTCAATTTTTAAAAAATAGTTATTTTATGTCTTCTAGAAAATTCATGAAAATAAAAAATTGGCCATGGCCGACCAAATCTTAATCTCTTTTTTTCCCTTTTACTTTGACTATGTTTAATTAAAATAAAGACAAAATTTTGTGTTATTAACTTTGACATGTCTCACATTTGGTCGGCACGAAACTTTTAATTATTTTATTGTTATTTCTCAACAAATCTTTATCATAAATTTAAAACATTTTTATTTTTTCCAGTCCAATATCATAATATTAAATCTGATTTAATCGTAATTTAAATATTTTAATCATTTTTTTGAAACAGCTGTTGGAAATGTTGTGCGAAAACTATGGTGGAAGAGTTGAGCTAGCAAAAGCTTATTTTAAAGCTTTAACGGATTCTGTTAGAAAGCATTTCAAAGGCAACGGTGTTATTGCCAGTATGGAACACTGCAACGATTTCATGTTTCTTGGGACAGAAGCCATTTGTCTCGGTCGCGTCGGTAAGTAATTCATTTCTGTCGGAAATTAAATTATCTTAGTGGTTAAAAGAATTGTTGTTATTGTTAAAGTTCATGAGTTCGAGTATCAATAACTATAAGGGTGATTGGGTGTTTATTGTCAAATAATTCATTATAATTAGTAATCACATTGAACTTAATAAAAAAGAAAGTGTATTATTCATCATTAAAGATAAAATTAAAATAGTTTGAGATGACCTAAATGGAATAATATTAAATACTTCACTTTATTATTCATATTGGATTTTTTGGGCTATTGGTCTGATGGGCTGGTTTCTTTTATAGGGGACGATTTTTGGTGCACTGATCCATCGGGTGACCCCAATGGCACATTTTGGCTCCAAGGGTGTCACATGGTTCATTGTGCTTACAATAGTTTATGGATGGGCAACTTTATCCACCCTGACTGGGACATGTTCCAGTCCACTCACCCTTGTGCCGATTTCCATGCTGCTTCAAGGGCCATCTCCGGTGGCCCGATTTATGTGAGCGACACCGTTGGCCACCACAACTTTTCGCTCCTCAAACGTCTAGTCTTGCCTGATGGATCAATCCTTCGTTGCCAGTACTATGCACTTCCGACCAGGGATTGTCTCTTTGAGGACCCTCTACATGATGGCAAAACCATGCTCAAAATTTGGAACTTGAACAAGGTTTGTCATTTGTACATGCTTGGTAATATTTTTATCCTAACACAATTACCCTTTTAAATATTGAATGAACTAACAATTTAGCCTTTTGTTTTGGACAGTATACTGGTGTGCTCGGCGCATTTAACTGTCAAGGTGGAGGATGGTGCCGTGAAACCAGAAGAAACCAATGCTTTTCACAGTTTTCGCAAACGGTGACGGCCGAGATGAATCCGAAGAACATCGAATGGAACAGTGGGAAGAACCCGGTTTCGATCGAGGGCGTCCAAGTTTTCGCCATGTATTTCTCTCAGTCCAAGAAACTGGTCCTCTCAGAACCGGCTGAAAACATTGAAATCTCACTGAAACCATTCGACTTCGAGCTCATAACCGTCTCACCGGTCACTGTCTTGACTGGAAAATCAGTCCATTTCGCCCCCATTGGGCTAGTCCACATGCTCAACACCGGCGGTGCCATCCAGTCATTAGCCTACAACGAAAGCTCGGTTCGAATCGAAGTGAAGGGAATCGGTGAAATGAGAGCCTTTGCTTCGGACAAGCCGATAACCTGCAAGATCAACGGAAAAGATGTGGGGTTTGAGTTCGAGAACAGCATGATTGTTGTTCAAGTTCCATGGTCTGGTTCATCTGGTTTATCCACATTAGAGTATCTGTTTTAGATTTTAATGGCTACATTAGTAGAAGTCTAAGATAGATTTATTTCAATGAAATTGAGTGAAAACTGAAGTATTTTTAAGGAGTTTAAATTAATTGAATGACAATTATTAGTATTTTCTCTTTATATGTGCTCTTTGAGATTTCTCTTTACCATATGGTTATAAGGTAATTGGCCTATAATTTTAATTGGGTTGAAAGGATATTTGGGTCAGAATTTCACATAAACTATGGAAAATTAATTAAAAATATATATATGAGAATCATACCAGTAAAGAAGGGTATTTAATTTTTCAATTAAAATAATGTTTTAGTAAATTTAATTATAGTTACAATTTTAAAAGTATAGAATTTGTAGCCCTATATAAATTTAAAAATATATAAAATTTATAATTTAAGCCATTGTAATTCCCTTCAATCCTTTTATTCAAAAAATATCCGTTCAATCATTTTCCTAGTAGTTTATTGCAATTGATTAGGTACAATTTTTATAGAATGGGCCTAAAAATTTCAATGAACTAATTGTACAAAAAATGGATTGAAGAATCCGTATTCCATCCACCAGATACAAGTTAAGTTGTTTTATTGGGTTGATTTAGGTTTCGAATTTAGGTTTAGTGTTAACAATATATCTTGGCATCACCATCATCTTTCACAAGCATATGCATTTCTAGATCACCATATGGTTCTCTCAAGGTACATGTATCTTTGCATTGAACATTCACAAAATATTTGAATGCCATTTGCATTTAATTCATTTTGCTAGACAGTCTCTACTTTTATTGCATAAGAATATTTCAAGTGAACTTTTATAGTATGATCAGACATAGGATTTTCAAAGCTTCCGAATACAATATTTTTAAGTCTCACTTGAGGTATCCTCAAATAATTAGGGAAAAAAACCTTCAATGCTTTTCTCTTAAGGGTGTTTTCAAAATCTCTTTTAACGTGTTGTTAATATTTTAAGGAAAATATATTCACAATCTCTTCAAAAATTCTTGGTACCCCTCTCATGAGGACAATCTGTTATGATACTTTTCAAAGTTTTCAACACTTTTTTCTTGAGGATATTTTTCTTTGAAATAAAAATAAAAAACTCTTGATCTCATATGAGGACATTTTCATAACTCTCTCTTGAAGAATAATTCTAATGTTTCAAATTTTCTTAAGGATATTTTTAAGTTTCTGTAAACATAAACATCTTCTTCATTGACAAATAAAGTTTGTCTTTCTTAAGACATAAAACCAGTTTCCCTTGAAATTTAAACCTGATCTCCATTGAGACATAAAATCAATTTCTTTTGAGACAGAGTTCATCTACCTTGAGACATTAATCTTCTTTGAGACATTCTCAATCTCTTTTGCTATAAATTTTAATCTCTCTTAAGACATAAACCTTGTTTCTCTTGAGACTTGAATCTCATTTCTCTTAAGTAGAGTATAGTACAATTCCATCTCTCTCAAAGTGAATAAAGTCTTTTCGCAGTTAATTCGGGGGAAAAAATTCGAGCCTTTTTTAAGGAAATTTTAATTCTCTTAAGAATACTTTCACAACCTTTCAAAAGAAAAATACCATTCTTTATAGAATATTTGCAAAAAATACCCTTTAAAATGACGTCTTTAAGTTTCTCTAGAACATAAATTTTGTCCAAATTTTAGGACATAATGTTAAAAATGATGCATTCAAGACAAATATTTTTAAATTAATAATCATGTAGATGTATTTAAGACAAGTGCATCCTCACATTTGGTAAAAAGTAAGATAAAAATTCTCAAACAAGTTACATAGAATCTTATCTCATCAAATGCTAAAGAGTTGATCATCACTTCAGAATCCTATCTTCTCATGTGTAGGAATGAATTATCTTAAAATTCAGAATAAAACTAATGATTGGATGAAATCTGTTGCTCTTTTGTCTTTTTCCTATTTCATTTTTTTAGCAATTGGCAAAAAAGGGCCACTATAAGCAGTATTCTTTATCTGGGTCAACTGAAACCAGGGCTAGTAGGTAACCCAAGCCCATAATTAATAGGGCACAAATGTTCCATATCCTAAAAGCCCACACCAGTAGTCAACACCAATCCTAAATCTAAGCTCAAACCGAGTCAACATCCAATCATCCCCCTTCACCTTTCCCCCACTTTTCCAATCAAAGTTATTTATTATCATTTGTCCCCAAAATTTTCAACCACCCCTAAATCTTAGCAACCATCCACCTTAACCTTAATTTCTTTTCTATCAACTCATCCACTCCAACCCACCCAAAACCTATATAATCATAAATATTCCTATGGTAGGGATCTTAAATCGGGTAATCGTTCAGGTTTTAGATCATATTATGTCAAGTTAAATCATGCGTGGGTTATGTCAAGTCAATTTAATGGTTTGACTCGGGTCAGATCAAGTTCAGATCGACTTGGGTTCAGGTCATTGTCAGGTTGATTTCAAATCATATTTAGTTCGGGTTCGAGTCAAATTAATTTCATGCTAGATTAATATCACTTCAGGCTAAAACGGTTCGGTTCTGAATCAATTAAATATCATGTTAATTTAGGTTCAGTTAGACTTCAGGTCAGGTCTGTTTATGATCGATTTTAGGTGAAATTCAAATCGAGTCTTACCGAGTACATATAAACTTCAAGTCGGATCATTTTCAGATGAATTATTTTTTACCTTTAATGAACGTCCAATTATAATTGCATAATATCTAATATATTAATTTAATATAGCATATACTCTATAGTCTTAGAACCTTATATTATTTGCTTCTAATCATAGTCTTACTCTTATGATCATAGGCCATAGGCCATAGCCATAGCCCTAGCCCATAGGCTATAGCTAATTAGTTATAATTATGTAATTGAAAAAATATAAAGAGAGATAATATAATAAATTAATAATTATATCTAAACATATAGAAAAATTATTACAAACTATTAAGTAGGACTAAATTAAATAAATATGAAATTATAAATTAAAATTTAAACAAATTAAACAACATATAGTGATCAAGTTGAAACAATTATAAAATGTAAAGTTGAAATTAATATTAAAATGAACTAAATTGCATTCATTTAAAAAGTTGGTGAACAAAAATTTATAAGATTTAAAGATTATGAATTTATGATATAATTTATAGCGTTTGAAGTTTATGATGTAATATATATGATTTAAAATAAATTATAAAAATAGAAATAATTATGGGTTAACTTTAGATAAAAGTATAATTTAAGGACTAAGTTAACAAACATGAGATTGGGTAGTATTATTGAGGTGGGACGGAAGATGATCCAATTGTAGAGAGTTGATTTAATTTAGTTTGGTTGTGGAAACCTATCCACGCAAATGTGGGAATACAAATCCCATTTTGAAACACAAAAAGCTGAGAGATGATAGTAAAGTCCAACGAACGAACGTGCGGGTGCTGGACCCCTTAACAGCAAACCCCTAGCCGACGGGGACTTGTCGCCTTGGGATTCAAATTACCCCAACTTTCTAAAGCACACAAAGTTTAAAGTTTTTATTTCTTTTTCTCTTATTTTTTTTAAATTAATTATTGGTATCTAATATTTCGATCAACTAATCCAAATCGTGTACTGTAGAGGCTAGTACGACTCTCTCAACTCAGTTTGCTCCATTCGCAAACGTCATGGTTTGAACCCTTAACCTTGCTTAAGGAATCTGGTGTCTCATCTCACTAGACCAACTGGTTGTTGTTTCTTATTTTTTAAATAGTATGAGATAATTATAAGATAATATTTGTTCATAATTTTATTAATTAATTAATATGTACACACACCCTATATATACAACTACTCAAACTCAAGACATCTGAAAAAAATATCCTTTTTCTACAGAGATCGCTTGACGAATTCCTTCTATAAATTCTAATTGTGTGTAATATATATGGTTTTTAAAATTAGATCGGTAAGTCATTGATTTTTAATTTGATTATTGGTCTAATCAATTTAGTATAATTTTATATTATATTATATTATATAAAAAGATATATATTAAAATATATAATTTAGGCTAATGGCTAATAAATTAATCGTAAAGATCATAAATGGTAATGTCGGATGAGTGGCGTGCGTGTTAATAATCTCAAAGCCTAAGTTCAAATCCTATAAATTGCATATTATATATGTTGTTAGGAAAATTAATTAAAAAGATGTTTATATAAAATAAACATGCCTAATAAATGAGATTTAATTTGATTTACTTTTATTTATCTTTAAAGATGAGAGAAATAATAATTTATTATAAACTATATGCTACAAAGAGTACAAATATATAATATCTCATGTATCTAAACTTGATATATAAAATAAAAATTAGTGTATCTCAAATCAATCTCTCAATATCTCTATAAAACTCATATTTCTAACATAAACTCTTATAGTTGTAGAGACTACAAAAGATTATATATCTCCAAAATAATTCTCTCTCATAATTATAAAGGTTGAGACCTACCTCATATTTATAGAGTCCAATACTTGGTCACCAAGAAATCTAATTATGTAAAATTTATTGTCTAAAATAAATATGTACTTATTAAATAAACTCAATTACCAAGTAATATCCAACCACTAGAATTATAATAAAATCTAATTTAATTATCAATTAAAATTTGAGTCAATATCTAACATATTTATCCTTACTATACATCCATCAAACATCCTCCATGTGTTATCACCATTATCACACCTCAAAACCTTTTGAGTTGGAACATCTCCATAGGTAGGATCTAGGAAGAGCATCTCTAGATAATGAGTCCTAAACAGTCAATATTCATCGAAAGCTTCAGTAGATATAAGAAAAACGTCTCTGGAAGGAAGATATTGAAGATCTAAAATCTCTGAAATCTCAACTTGTTGACATGACCTCTAACAAGCCCATATGACTTGCCAAAGCGAAATTCATCGCTACCCGATCATATCCACTTAGCCTGCTAGCCTACGGGTAGTCATAATAACCTACACCTAACATCATCTCCAAAAGCCACTATAAAAATATCTC